GTCCAAGTCATGTGCACCTTCTCCTGATAGGTTTCTGTCTCTTCATCCTCATCAGAGCCAATGCTGGTCAATCTTAGCATTGAGTTCCGGTCTTTCACCAACTGTGCCTGAGGAAAGCCCAACATAGCTGTGAGTCTACCAAATTTTCTCCTATGCTTCATCTTTCATTTTGAAACAAATAATGTGATTATAGTGGAATAACTGATAAAGTGAGAAGGAAAGAATCTATCATCTTATGAGAACAATATAGCATCAGCCCTTTCAGTGACAGACTTCATAGGGCAGGATTAGATCAATGCAGCAAGATCTCACCTCTCTGTCCCGCTCTGTTTTGGATAGTCGCATGTGCCGGAGCATCTGGGACCTTTGTTCCATCATCAGAGTGCGTTCATAAGTATAAGCTGAGATGTCACTGTCATGCTGCCACATATATCGCAGAGTGGGCAATAAGCACAAAGGAGAAAGGAGGATGAACCAAGTATTTTCATTTCTACTGACTCAATTAAACCAGAGAAGGTATCACAATATTGGCCTAAGTTTCACTCCTATTTTGTTCAGTAGCTGAGCTACATAAACACAATACTGTGGCTTGTGGACCAAATCCAGAAGCCCTGAGAACCTTTTCCATAATCTAACCATTACATATGTGTTTCCTTAAAATACAAAAAACAACCAATAGTCTTATTTTTACTGCTGCCAGGTTATAAAAAAAGAAAGCTATCTGATGATGTTAGCATGAATATATGAATTAAAACTTAATAAAATTATATTAAGCAGACAAGAATCTAGCAGAAATATAGGGCTGCATAACAAACAAGAAAGCAAAAATAAAAAACAACACCAAATACATATTACATACACATTCTACTTATCTAGATCAATATATTAGGGTTGTGCTGGAACTAACGGATTAATCCTTATTTGTAGCTGAAGACTTTCCCAAACCAGAAAAGGTTCTAGGAAGACAGGATAAGGGAAGGGTGGCCTCTTTGTTCTCAAACTCAGCTTTCTCACCATCTCCACCACTTCCACCTCTGCCTCAATGCGCAGGTGATAGAGGAAGGTGGCCAGGTCCTTCTTCATCTGAATACTGTTGTCCTCTAGTTGNGGCCTGGAGGTGGAAAAAGCAAAGGGAACACATTGAAGTGACTCAGTTTCTTAAGCCATATTAAGGGTTTTCTCTGGAAGGGTCAAATGAATAGTCTGCTGGCTCCTAGATCAGCTTGCTCCATATCCTGTTGGGTAATCAAAAAAGTGGCACTATTTATCATTAATATAGTGAAACTCAAAAGCAGGCATGACTACAGGCAAGATAGTTTCTCTAAATAACCTATCCTGTGAAAGGAAGATTTCACATTTCTGAAATTATGATTCAGTCACACTGGATAATTTCCCTATGCTTGGAAGCCAGGTGTTTTGTGATCAGTAAATTAGCAAATAAAAGGCTAAACTTGCACAAATACTTCCTTGACACACTTAAGAGCTAAAACAAAACTGCAATAGCAGAAGACTTGGCTTGGATAATCTTGTTTTAAAGCCAAGTTTCTGCTGTCAGAATGAAGAGGAAAATAGAAAGTTCTCATACTCTGAGCATTTAGGTGAATACCTCAGATCTACACTATGGCTTTGGAAATAAGTCCACAGAGTTCTTAGTGAAAAAAGTTTCTTGAATCAGGCCAGTGCCAACTGTATGCCAGTCAGTGAAGTACATAAGCAAAGTACCAGCAGCTCAATAACTTTGGCACGACGGAAGGAATATGGCTCTAGAACTTTGAATTTCATTGCTGGATCCCCCCCTTTGAAAGATAGTAGAAACCTTTTAGGGAAGGATTTTAGTTAGTCTTCCTGCTGTTCCTATGATTTTTGACCTGTGCCTACTACCCCAGAGGGCATAAAAGGGAGAAGGAAAGGTGAACCTACTGGTCAGTGTGCATCATCATCTATACTAGGTAACAGCTTGTACGTTTGCCCGTGTCACATAGGTAACCAGACGATCAGTAGCCAGAGTATCTTAAGAGCTAACTTTTGGAGTTTCCTTAGTTTGGCCATTTGAAAAGAACCTGAAAGAAATAACTTTTACTCCACCTTTTAAAAACAATTTCTATGGTAACACTCCCTGTATTACAGTCTTAACCACAGAGTGGGTTTTGAGAAACAACTCAAATATACACCAATGCAGTAAATGTACTTAAACCTGGTATTTTGGGGAAAATCTTGTTTTGAAGGACGAAGTAGAGACTGCAGCCATGTTTCCGTTTTTGTATATTAGTACCTTAATGTAAAATTAAGAGTCCTGGAGAACAGTGGATACACTCAAGAAAATTAGCTTAGAAAGGTTTTCATCTTGGCTTGCTATAGGTTATCTTCACCAGGATGTTATAATAGGTCCCCATATACTTGGCCATGAATTCCTTAGTATGATGAGGCTCTTTCTCTGACTTACTTCATGGTGTCATCAATGAACCATGACTTCTGAGAGTCATCTTTAATGCTGGATATGCACTTCCTTTTTGTCTTCAGTTGAATTTCTAGCATCCCTTCTGCCTATTCATTTGACTGGTTTACCTTGTTAATTCTAACTTGCCTTCAGCTGGTACAGACATGGCTTTAGGACTTGAGCATTGTTCTGATGTTGAGGGAATATTGGCTGCTTCTGTAAGGATAGCAGATCACATGGGAGCAAAGTACAGATCTATTTGTACTTTTTCGCACAAGTACTTGAGGCTCAGCTCGTCTAGAGTTCAGTGTGATGTGCACAGAA